CTACAATACCTACAGGAATGTGTAAAGGGAGTTTAGGGGGGCTCCCTTAAGAACCATATTTTCCACTTATCCAGGGAAGGGGGGGGGACTAAACCTCCTACCCCCACTTGTAAACACCACTCAGGGGGGGGGCTAAACATAGAATTCGAACATAAATCTGCACACGCACAATTGGTGTACATTTGAGTTATCGTGCTGGGCCAACCTTTTCGGTCCTATTTTGTACTGTACCGCTAATTTACAAATAGTACAGCGGCAGACTTGTATGTGCAGTAAAATCATATTTTAAACACTCTGTATTAAGCATATAAATACATCTTGATCCCCAGCTGTATCTAGAATACAATGAGTTCTGGTAAAAATACTGGAAGGAAAAAGAAAAAAAGAAAAACAAAAGAAATCAAGAAGATAAGAAAACAGCAAAAATGGTAAAATGTGAAATTCTTTAATAATTGTTATTGCCCCAGCCCCCATTGAACACAATTCTTTGATTTTATAACCTTAGATCTGCTACCCAACCTTCTTTTATAACCTTGAATCTGCTACCCAGCCTTCTTTTATAACCTTGAATCTGCTACCCAACCTTCTTTTATAACCTGGAATCTGCTACCCAACTTTCTTTTAAACCTTAAATCTGCTACCCATCCTTCTTTTATAACCTTGAATCTGCTATCCATCCTTCTTTTATTACCTTGAATCTGCTACCAGCCTTCTTTTATAACCTTGAATCTGCTACCCAACTTTCTTTTAAACCTTAAATCTGCTACCCATCCTTCTTTTATAACCTTGAATCTGCTACCCATCCTTCTTTTATTACCTTGAATCTGCTACCCAGTCTTCTTTTATAACCTTGAATCTGCTACCCATCCTTCTTTTATAACCTTGAATCTGCTACCCAACCTTCTTTTATAACCTTGAATCTGCTACCATCCTTCTTTTATAACCTTGAATCTGCTACCCATCCTTCTTTTATAACCTTGGATCTGCTACCCAACCTTCTTTTATAAGCTTGGATCTGCTACCCAACCTTTTTTAAAACCTTGGATCTGCTACCCAACCGTCTTTTATAACCTTGGATAATCTACCCTACCCTCTTTTATAGCCTAGTATCGGCTACCCCAACCAGCAAATTTAAAACTTTAATTTAATTAATTTAATATATGTATACATGTATATCTTTTTATAAGTATAAATTGAGTCTTTGTCACAAACTCTGATTTTCTACTTCTTATATCTTTGAAACCCAATGTCGTGGATCATAGATATTTCAAACTATGAATTATGCTATAGATCAATATTATAAGTTTAAATATCAAAGGTTTACACCATTAGGTTGTTAAGTTATAGACATTAGAATATTTGAGTTTGTGGCAAAGGCTCAATTCCTTTGTTTTCTCCAGATTGTTGCTCTAGTCGGAAAAACAGAAATGCCGGAAGAAGATCTTGGGTTAGATTTCATTTCCTTAAAATATCATATTGTAGAGGATGAAAATCCCCGAAATAGGATTATAAATTCCGCAAATCATTTGTTTCGGATTCTAGAACCTACAGGTTAACGTCGGGAGTAACTGTGAGTATAAGCTATTCTATATATATATATATATAGAGTGGTAATTTATGTTTGTTTGTTAGATGTCCGAACATAACTCATAAAACCCTTGACCGATTTGCCTCAAATTTGAATTGGGGAACTCTGTAGCCCGTGAATGTGCTTAAATTAAATAATTAATTGTTTCTCAATCTTTTAGCATTTTTTCTTTGATAAAACAATATTAAAATTTCCCCGTTACAATTTTTTTCCGTGGATTTTTAAAAAATTTCATGAAAATCAAAAATATGTGGGGACAAACTTTGTAATTCTGAGCATCCATAAACCTTCCGTGAGGTCAAGTGCAAGGTCCCACACAAAAATTGAGCCCGAGTTCAATTCAAACCTTTTTTATAGTATTAGTCTGAATCAATACGAGTAATTTATCTATGTGTCTCCAACGTATAAGTGTTAGGTATTTTCCGAAAGGCGACTTCCTGCAAATGACAATTTCCCAAGTACGTGGCAACTTCCCAAATGTTCAACTTCCCAAATAAGCAAGCGGCTAAGGTTAGGCTAGGCCTTCTGAGGCGCTGCAGGGTGCATAAGGGGGCGGAACACTGGGCCAGGATGGGATAGGGGCCAAGCGCTGCGACTAGGAAAGATCTGGAAAGTTGCCGTTTGGCAAAATGCTGTTGGAAAAGTACCTCTTATCGCAACAACGCAAAAGAGTCTAATTCTATCAGAATGTCGTTGGCTATTCTGAAAGATACATTTTTAAAACTATTTACTACGATGTTAGGATTGATTCTGACACAGTGATCCAACGATTGCGAACTCTTACTAAAAATCTTACTAAAAATATCGATACGAATTTTGCCAATTTTCTCATTAAAACTCAAGTTAAAAACAAGTGCTTTTAGTTACAACATTTACATGCCTGGCTTCATAAAAGTGTGTATGATTTTGTGAGGAAAATCAAAAGTCCAAGGCGTTGCGACACTTTACAGTTGACCCAGGTCTTAAAATTTAATCCAACTTTTCACAGCTGCCTGGATCTATGAGAAGACAGTTAGCACAGGCGAAAAAATTAATTCTAAAATTTCTAGATCGGGTCGATTTTGAAGTGTCACTACTCGCTACCTCTTGAACTTTGGTTTTAAACTATTATAACTCACTTATCTTCGTAGCTTATACTTCTTATACATGCAGATTTAAACACTGAAGTATGATTGTTTCTAGCTATAGTGTAAAAGAAATATTTAGCAAAATTCTGATCGATTTTAGCATGAGAGGAAGGGGCTTAGCACCCTTCGGGTGCCAAAAAAAAACTGAAACCCATAGATTTCACTGACCCAGGGGCGCTATACCCCCCCCCTGAATACGCCTAGATGATCCTGATGAATAAATAAAATATTGGAAGTGGGGGAATTATTGGGGAAATAGCAAGGGTAAATATATCAGGCAGGGGGAAAGGGAATTCTGAGACAAAATAAAGTTAATTTATTTTAAAATCTTGCATGCTTTAAACCTTGCAAACTAAAAATATATTTAGAGAGGATTTAACTCATAAAACATGTAATAATCTACTTTTTCTGAAGACCTTTTTATAAAATAAGAAATGCTTTAATTTGAGTCTTTGGGGTCAAATAAAAATTTGGGGAAATTTGAGGTTGCAAAGCGTCTCCAGTAATTCCAGGTTCTAAATTCGAGAGATTAAAAAGCGATTGTGAGGGAGAAAAAAACCGGGGGATTTGGAGGGGGGGGGGATTATGAGAATATGATATGGGGAATATATAGGCTAAAATTAGAGGTTGTCTTGAAAAGTTTTTTCTACAATTGATCAAACAATATAAAGTTGTGTATACCTTCAGACTCAACCACATTTTGCTTAGTCACCTTACATCCGACCTAGAGTTTACTGTCCGGAGTCCGGCGTGAAAAAAAAATGCAAGCAAGCTTAGGCGCAACTTATTTGTAAGTGGGGTGGGGGGGTCATTTCAAGTACCGGACTGACTGTTAAGCAGCTGTACAGTACGCATACAGACTGTAAGACCAAACGGGTCAGTAAACCAAATAAATTATAGAGATAATCGATCTAGTGGGGGCTAAAATTTCAATAAACTTGGAAGATGTTGAGTGTGTATCTTCTACAGTGGGGTTTCATGAATATTAAACAGTACGATCCAACGTCTTTATTACTGTATGACACAGACTGCTCTGGAAAGTTGCATCAATTTCAAGACAGGGTCAACTTCGGCCTTTAATTTTACTTTTTTTTGTAGCCCTAGAAATAAACACCTTTTTATGATAAATCACTTGTTTTTGAAGTTATGGGCCAAAAAATAATGTTGGTGCCCCCCCCCCCTCCCCCTTGGCAACATTGTGCCCCAACTTAAAACCCCTTTTTTGAAAAAAAAATATTGATACTTTTTGTAATTATGTTCAGTTAAATATTCGATCTTATTTATGTAATTTTCTTCAGTGGACTTTTCAGACACTCCCTCTTAATACAGTGGTGTAAGCTTCAAGGGGTGAAAAATAGAAATGGAAACGTTTCTTTAAAATTACCTATATTTTCATAGGACTTATTACATAAATAATGATATTTATTGAAACTTTTTTAGTTAAGGATAAAAGTGAGATTTTAAAGTATTTTTTTTTCACATGATGTAATTATATTTAAATGGAATACATGCGTAATTTCAAGTGACCCTCCATTTATAGAGTGGCATGTCCGATGTCCTTTGAAACCTTCATTACTCCATCGTTTCTCAAGTAATTAAAACGCATCAGTCGCTTTAGTAGTGAAACCACAAATAAAAATAATCAGTTTTCAAAATAGGAAACATGGATATTTAATGCAATACTTGAGCTGAAAACTTTAGAATGGTGGATATCAGGATTACCGCTTAATCCACTCTTTTTCTTAATCTGCAGATTAAATATTGCTTGTTCTCCACTCCTTTTTAATCTCCAGATTAATTATCCGATCAGGATTAAGGATATCCCATTCAAAAGTTTTCAGCTTTGATCAGACAAAGCTTTCAAGGTATTGTTGTGAATCAGAATTGAAATTATGTCTGCAGTCACTTTAAACCTCTCAATTAATTCCATAATAATTAAACCACTTTATAGGTTTGTGAACTTAAAATGATTTTAAAAAAAATAATGATAAGCTTTAAAGGATACTGCCTCCAAAATCAAGAATCTCCAGATGTAATATTAAATGAGCCCCCCTCCCTCCCAGGGGGGGGCTGTGTAGGGGGGGGGGCGTGCACCCAGGGCTCTCCCTCGTATGCCCCTGAGTGTGAACTTGCAACTTTTTAATCATTGTGATAGATATAAGGCACAGGGAGCTTGCAATCTTTTTAACACTGTGATAGATATAAGGCACAGGGAGCTTGCAATCTTTTAAACACTGTGATAGATATAAGGCACAACATTGCCCAGGACAAACCTATGACCAAAACCTACTTCAGAACAAAGAAAATGAAAAAACTGATAGATTTGAACCGAGGTAGTGTTTTCGAGGACAAGCGAGGGATGGTTGGGTCAGCTCCGTATAAACTAGGAGAGCAAAAAAGACAGGTATCTATCTATCTATCTATATAAAGTAGTATTCTCTGTTTGTTTATAGGTATGTCAGACCATAACTTATAAACCCTTTGACCGATGTGCCACAAATTTTGATTGGTTTGATTGGGGAACTCGGTAGAAGTACGGGAATGTTCTTAGTTTAGTTTTAAAGTTCTAGGTTGAGTATAAGGTTGACTTTTTATAGGGAAAACTTAGTTTTTAGGCAAAGCTAGGTTCCCGACAAAGTTAAAACATTAATAAATCAACATTTAATGAATTAATTAATAATGGGAAAAACTAAACAAAATGTTAAATTAAAAAAAAAAAAAATTTCTCACCAAAACTTATTTTTTTCATCTTTTAATTATATTAAATCTATTTTTTTCTGAACTTTCTGTAGATTGTTAAACAGGATATTTTTTAATTGCTTATTTTTATCAATTGCAATTTGAATATTATAAAAAAATTCTATTCATTCTTCTTCTCAAATTATGTTATTCAAATTTTTCAGGATATATTACAAAAAAACAAAAGAAAGGAACATAGGAAAATTAGTTTAAACAACAACAAAAATAGGAATTTTCTTCCATATCTCTTCATCATCATATGAAAGATTTGTACTAAAAAATTGTTTACAATTCTTAAAATGGTGTTGAATTTCTTCAGGGACCACAGAATGTAGATCTGAACAGCAGAGCCATCTATCATCAAACAGGACAAATACATCCTTCAAAACCTTTACACTCCGGTAGACCAACATTAGGCCAGGTACAAACTGTACATGCAGGTAGATAGAACTGTGTAAACTGTACATGCAGGTAGTTAGAACTGTGTACACTGTACGGCAGGTAGACAGAACTGAGTACACTGTACATTCAGGTAGATAGAACTGTAGTACGTTGTACAATGTACATGCAGGTAGATAGAACTGTGAACATTGTACGTACAAGTATATAGAACTGTGTACACTGTACATGCACGTCGATAGAACTGTGTACACTGTACATGCAGGTAGATAGAACTGTGTACAAAGTTTATGCAGGTAGATATAACTGTGTCACTGTACATGCAGTTAGGTAGATCTGTGTACACTGTACATGGAGGTATATAGAACTGTGTACACTGTACATGTAGGTAGATAGAACTGTGTACATTGTACTTGCAGGTAGATATAACTGTGTCGCTGTACATGCAGGTAGGTAGATCTGTGTACACTGTACATTCTGGTTGATAGAACTGTGTACACTGTACATTCAGGTAGATAGAACTTTGTACATAGTAAATGCAGGTAGATATAACTATGTCACACATGTACATTCAGGTAGATAGAACTGTGTACATAGTACATGGCACGTGGATTTAACGGTTCTGTCAATTTCCAGAAAGCTGTGACTTTCGATCACAATTTGACCCATTAAACATAATTTGTTAGCCTTTTCTATAAAATACTTTTTTGTTGGCATATTCATTTTGAATGAAAATGTATAACATAAACAAATCCGTAAAGCAAATGATTATTGAATAAAAGACCAAAACTCGTTTGATTTCAAATAGAAGAAACCGAATGCCTCTCACTCTGGTTAGTCCGGTGTGATGGAGGTATATAGAACTGTGTACATTGTACAATGTACATGTAGGTAGATAGAACTGTGTACACTGTACATTCATGTAGATAGAACTGTGTACATAGTACATGGAGGTATATAGAACTGTGTACACTGTAAATGCAGGTAGATTGAACTGTGTCACTGTTCATGTAGGTAGGTAGATCTGTGTACAGTGTACATGGAGGTAGATAGAACTGTGTACACTGTACGTACATGCAGGTATAAACAAAAATGTGCCAACTGAACGGGCAGATTGGTATAACTGTATATGCACTGTACAGTGTACATGCAAGTAGCAATTACCATACACTGTACAGTAGGAAAAAAATTATACAGTGTTAACTAATGATTTTTGGGATATCTAAATCAGGTTTTTTTTAAATTGCTAATGAAAAATTACATTTATCATTATTTCACATATAGAGAATTAACTTTTCCAAAATATTATTTTACAGGGACAGATTAACAATAGTTTTTTTGCGGTGTACACTGTACATAGAAACAGTAATATCTAATAATAGAGTTTGATTTTTCTTGTTAAAGGGACTTGCGCTGGAATTTGAATTTGAATTTGAGAGGGGCATGTCCGATTCACAACGGTACTCTTAAAAAATTAATTTGATTAATAATGTAGAAGATAATGTCGTTTTTCTAGCTTCAAAGTGTTTAATTCTGTTACTTTCTACTTTGTTATAAAAGCAGGAAATGTGCAAGTCACTTTTTTAAAGAACATACTTGATCTGACAACGTGTTTTAAGGTACCGTTGTTAATCGGACATGCCAGTCTAGCAATGAAGGGTAACTTAAACTCATTTAAGAATATATAATACAATATACAGTAGTAGGCGATTTTATCAATTCAATAAAGACGACTTTCGATTTCAATTTAGATTTATATCAAGCTTTTAAACAGCATGGATTGGATACACATAAACACGGAAACAAAGAGAAGCTGTCAACTAGGAATGCTTCTCTTTGATTACTTGTAAAAAAAGCTTTTAAACCATCAAAACTTCAACAAAAAGTCGTCTTCATTGTAGTAATTTAATTTCCTACCATTACACACATGAATCGATCACTGGCACGCCATGGCTGACTTTTAACCTGTTACTTTGTTCAGGAAAAAAGTAGATTAACATCTACCTATTCCCTGGCCCACGGACCCAAGCTTAGGATGGAGAATACTAAACGAGGAGCTAGGAAATCTAAAAATTAAACAAATTTTTTTCTTTAAATCATACACACGCGAATAAAGGTTTTTGTTCTGCTTTAAAATATCTTTAACAATTTTAAAGTTTTTTTTTTCAGTTTTATTACTTTTTTAGTTGTATGTACATATGAGAAAATTCAAATCAGTATAATTTATTAAAGTTTTTTTAAATTAAATAGACAAATCTTTTTACTATGTTAAATTGTTGAATATATGCAGAAAAGTGAAGGCATCATCCAGAGGCCTTTTATTAGGTGAGGAATCTTTAAATTACAGGGAACGTCAAGGTTTTAGAGAATAAGGAAGACGACCCTAAACAATGTGAAGTTATAATATCTGTTAAAAAAACTTTAATGTTGTAAATATGTATCATTGTCTATCTTTAAATATTGATAAGAATTAATTAATTGATCACAATGCATGACTTTATTGAAGTTTAAATGTCCTTTGAAATTAAAAGTCGACTTTGTAATATTACCTTTTTTTTAAGACCCGGCCCTGGCATGATCCTTTCTCACTTAATATGTTTAATGTTTAATCAACTTTAATTTTTCTTTTTATTTTATGATAATAATTATCGAATTTATATGAGTTTTTTTATGAGTATTTCTGTGCTGCTTTTGTATAGAAATATGTTTCTGAAATCCATGAAAGAGTAGTTTTTCTTCATATTTTTTATTTTCTTCATTTTCTTCATTTTTCTCATTTTCTTCATTTTTTTCATTTTCTTCATTTTTTTTCATCTTCTTCATTTTCTTCATTTTTTCATTTTCTTATTTTTTTCATTTTCTTCATTTTCTTCATTTTCTTCATTTTCTTCATTTTCTTCATTTTCTTCATTTTCTTCATTTTCTTCATTTTCTTCATTTTCTTCATTTTATACATTTTCTTCATTTTCTTCTTTTTCTTCATGCAGATTTACAACAGTACCCAATTCAAACCTTTTTCTGATCAAGGGTGAATGTGATAATCTTCTTCTTATGTTGGAAAATTGATTATTGTGAGTTGTGGTGAATTGCGCATGTTTATGCTACGTAGAGAATAGAGAAAATCAACGGAATTTATTACTTTACTAAGCTAGAAAAAAAGTGATATTATGAATTTGAGTCCGGTTCATTTTAAGAACATGGCCGACATCTCACAAGCTAGAGCGAGCTGTGCAGTACACTAACAGATTATACCAGGCAAACAGATTATACCAGGCAAACAGATTATACCAGGCAAACAGTTTATACCAGGCAAACAGTTTATACCAGACAAACAGATCATACCAGGCAAACAGATTATACCAGGCAAACAGATTATACCAGGCAACACGGGAAAGTACTCCAAATGAACCAGTTCCTTCTAGGGGAAATTCTACTGGATCCAGTGTCATAAGCTTCCTCATTATGACTAAGATAGAGTTTGATTGTACCGTTGTAAATCTAACTTTCTTTTTTTTAATGGGGAGTCAATTTTAGGAACTGATGAGGAGGCCGAGGATTTAACTGGACAACGTGCACCAATTTCATCTTCGAGGAAAGACAAGAAAAATAAAATTTTTTATTAAAAAAATTTCTTGAAATACAAAAGCCCCTCTGCTATCAAAGACATCCTAAAAGCGAATTATTATGTTTTCTGTTTGAATTAATAATTTTCAACAGCAAACATTATCTTGTTTACAATTTTATTAGTTTTAAAACAGGCCAAAACAAAGTAGTCTAATTCTCTTTTACAATTATTTAAATTATTTAAATAACACAAAAGGAATTGAGATTTTGCTACAAACAGATTATATAAATCCCTATATCTTTGCAACCTAATAGTGTAAACCTTTAGTATTTCAAACTTAGATTATTTGATCTAACAGAATTAATAGTTTGAAAAATCAAAGGTTTACAACATTGTGTTTCTTTAAGAGAAATTTCAATATAAAAATGTCCAACCACAGCACTTAATTTACATTCAATCTTAAACTTGGTAGTCTTCGACATTTATAGGTTGTAATGTTGTAATATATCTAAATGATTTAAATTTAATTGAATTATTTACAATCTGAGTAAAATAATGGAACTCTGTAAATTTTTATGAACGGTATCACGCACCTCTGCCCCTTTAGTAAAAGTAAATTCAACCAATATGAAGCATAAAGTCTGACCCCGCCAACCTTGTTGCACCGGCTAGCCTGTTGATTGTCTTCTTTATTAACCCAATGTCCGTGCGGTGCAGTTCAAACTGGTATCGGAAAGGTTGATCCGGATCGGAAATTCAAATGTACTACGGCTGCCCGTGGTATACGCTCTTGAGTATAAGACGTTTTTAACCATTTTCTCCTTATAGACGCAACAGATAAAACTAAAATTCATAGCGATCAATATCGAATTCAATTCGATATCACTTTATACCCCCTTTAATTTTCGCGAACACGTCCCTTTAAACTCTTGTTTTTTTGTGGGACGCACTGTTAAAAATAGTTTTTTGCTTGTCTTAGATGGAAAAGTGAGGTTCGAGATCAATTTCAAGGTTGTCTCAACCTCCGTCCTTTATCTGCTCCAAACCAGATTAATTATCCTCTTTCATTAATGGACAATCAGGTTCTATCATTTTCTTCATAATATCGAATTAACATTTTGTTCTAAATTGAGGATATCTCACACATTTTTAGCTCGACATAATTAAATGTTCATACAAATTTTGATAGAATCATATAAAATTTAATAATCTGAAAATATTTCTTTGCTATTACACAATTTATTAACATATTTAGCTTATCAAATATGCTTATTAAAAGCCCTGTATAAAAACAATCCTCGACCAGGGTGTTATGAATACAATATTTTTTTAAGGAACCAGTTTTTGGCCACACTAAATCCTATGCCTCAAGACATCACCAAATGCAGGTTTACTTTTTAAAGGGACTGTTACATAATTTCAAGTGATCATCATGGGGAACCTATTCATCCATTGCTTAATTGATAGGTTTAATTAAATATCCTTACTTTTCTCTCATAAAACTCTGAAAATGAATTGCGGATTTAGGCATTTAGAAAATTAATGAATTTGAAAGAATTTTAAATTACTTAAGAGAGGAAAACGACGATATCTTAATCATTGTTCATCAGATAGAAAATTCTGAATTGTTTTAGATTTTTTAAAAGATTGGGTCAGCGCAAGCATTTCTAAAAATTATGGTTCACCAAGGGAAATTGATTTTTCAATTTTTTCGAAGCATGTCGATATGGGTATCTGCCCTTGGACCGCTAAATATTGCCCTTTTATTGTTTTTTTTTGAAATTTTGAAAATTATTTGACCTAGGGCNTGGCAAATTCTCACTAAAAAGTATGTCATTTTTTTCATTTTACATTTTTAATAGATTTTTATGATATTTCCGTTTCTGAATTCAGTGTTTTAAGACGGATTTTGAAAACCTATATTGACATGTTTCTAAAAAAAATATATTTTAAAACACGTTCTTAAAGGATTTGAGCATTTTTATCAAAAAAGTGCCTAAAAGTCCCCCCCTCTTTATTTAAACAATCGTTTTAATGGAGTCTTTTTAAAAGTCCCAAAAAAAAGGTTTTGATGTGACCCCCAATTAAAGAAACAACATCAACGTTTCACAATCTTAAACTTTTTTCCTGAAAAGGAAATTTTCTAATCCCTAAATATTTACAACCTATAAATGTGTAAACCTTTGATATTTCCAAATTAAACTCTTTGATCTAACTTCTTCATAATTTAAAATATCTAAGGTCTACGACATCGGGTTGAAAATTGTACATTAAGTAAAAGGTTATTTAAATAAAAAAAATTGTAGGGATTAGAAAATCAGAGTTAAGTTCCTTTATATTTGAATTGACCATGTTATCAGTTCAGAAAACTGATATCTCTGTCAGCCTTCCTTAGATAAAAAGTTACAGGGTCAAATCAAATCAAATCAAGTCAAATCAGAGTGTTAGGGATGCATATTCGTCATATATAATCGTTATCTTCTACATTATATATATGTAATATATTTGTATATTTGTATATACTGTGCAAATTGCTTTAGCTATACCCAATACTTAAAATGAACCACAGATTACAGGGCTCATATATACATATATATATTATATATATATATATATATATATATATATATATATCATAAATATTATATATTATATATTTATTTTATATATATATTAATCAGGAGCTGTTACCATTCTGTCCTGGCGTTCAATCCCACCTCCAGGACCTTGATGTTTACCAGAGTACTTATTCACTGGAATAGGTTTGTAAAACACTGTATTTCTGGAATAGGTTTGTATAAAACTGTATTCCTGGAATAGGTTTGTATAATACTGTATTTCTGGAATAGGTTTGTATAATACTGCATTCCTGGAATAGGTGTGTATAACACTGTATTCCTGGAATAGGTTTGTATAATACTGTATTTCTGGAATAGGTTTGTATAATACTGTATTTCTGGAATAGGTTTGTATAATACTGTGTTTCTGGAAAAGGTTTGTATAATACTATATTCCTGGAATAGGTTTGTATAATACTGTATTCCTGGAATAGGTTTGTATAATACTGTATTTCTGGAATAGGTTTGTATAATACTGTATTTCTGGAATAGGTTTGTATAATACTGTATTTCTGGAATAGGTGTGTATAACACTGTATTCCTGGAATAGGTTTGTATAATACTGTATTCCTGGAATAGGTTTGTATAATACTGTATTTCTGGAATAAGTTTGTATAATACTTCAGATTTTCAAAATGTGTCCACAATTACCCATATCTATAATGAGTCATAGATTAACAGAAAAAGGATAGAAAAAGTCCTCAACATAAATATTTTTAATTTAAACAAATTTTTTTATTTACTTTTTCTTCTTAGGGAGAAGATGTTGCGGCCCTGGTTGCAGCCCCCTCAAACAGAGTTCAAACTGCAGAATAGGGTCCCAAAACATGATGATCAGGTCCAGATACTACTAAATATTAGTCCCCCTCAAACAGAGTTCAAACTGTAGAATAGGGTCCCAAAACATGATGATCAGGTCCAGATATAACTCAAACAAACTGCAGAATAGGGTCCCAAAACATGATGATCAGGTCTAATCTATTTTTAAATGTAGAATTTTCATTTTTTATAATCAATCTAATTTTTTTTCAAACGACATGTTTTGTTCTTATGTTCAATAGAAATGCGATAAAATAGAATTATCATGAATTGATAACAAAATTAGACAAAAATTATTTATTTATAATTGCATGAATATTTCTTTTTCAGAACAATTTATAATTTGAAAAGGTTCTGATCAGAATCTAATAATAACAATTGTGATTCTGAATTTTGAATATTTATATACTCAACAGGTAATTAAAGGAACTACTCATGTTATTTCAGGTAATTAAAGGAACTACTCATGTTATTTCAGGTAATTAAAGGAACTACTCATGTTATTTCAAGTGACCCTCCAATGCATAAAACTTTGTCTGCTACAAAATGTGAAAGATATTATGATTTTTTCTATCTTAAAAAGTTTTAGATTCTGCAGCAGAAATGCGCAATTGTCACTTTTGAAGCGAAACCATGATTGAAAATAATCAAGTTAATTAAATCTTATAAATGGAGGATATGAATACAATTAACATGGTTACAACAATCAAATAAAATATGGGAACACTATAAGTCAAGGGACTAAATATCAAAACACTATAAGTCAAGGGACTAAATATGAAAAAACTATAAGTCAAGGGACTAAATATGAAAACACTGTAAGTCAAGGGACTAAATATGAAAACACTAATATGAAAACACTGTAAGTCAAGGGACTAAATATGAAAACACTGTAAGTCAAGGGACTAAATATGAAAAAACTATAAGTCAAGGGACTAAATATGAAAACACTATAAGTCAAGGGACTAAATATGGAAACACTATAAGTCAAGGGACTAAATATGAAAAGATGATATGGCTCTCCCTGTTTTAATTTCTTTTATTGTTTTCTGTTAAATGTCAGTCTTTTGCTAATTGCATTTTTTTTAATTCATCCGTACAGACACCTCTCCCCGTGTTCAATATAATTTTATTCAGTTTTATCAAAACCACCATTTTTTAAGGTTGACCAAAATTCTTACAATTTGTTTTTAAATTCTTGCCCCTTTTCTCCACAGCCCCCCCCCCCTATAAGTTTTTTTTATTTTTAACGATTTCAATAAATTTTATTTGTTTTTTATTAAAAAACATTTTTATTTATTTATGAAATCATTTTTGTCATTTTCTGTAGGACTGATGAGGCTTTTAAATTCTATCGAAATCCAAATAGGTTGTCAAGTACAATAGATGGCAACAGAAAAATCGACCAACTGCGCACAACGTCATACAGAGCGTCCCATATCATATTAGATTATCTCCAAGCTTTAACGCCAAAATACACACATAATAATCGAAAAACCTAGTATTTTCTGCAAGAAAACTTTTATAACAAACCTTCAACGTTTTTTAAAAATGATTTATTGTTTTAAAATTTTCTGATTAGTCCCTAAAATCGCAATTTTGAGCTATACTCGATCTAATATGATGTGGGTCACCCTGAATGTGTCAAATGAAAAAAGAAAGACGACATGTCCTCTAATTAGTTGGTATTATTTCCAAGATTTGGTGGAGGTAAATGTCGTCTTTGTAGGAATACGTAAAAAATATTTACAACTCAAAATCAGATAGAGTATTTTTACTTCTTTTGGTGGCTTAATTTTTTCACTGTATATCTATGTAAACTAAATAGTCTGAGGGAGGGGGGGGGG